GAAACTTGGCCCCAACTGTGACAGTGTTAAGAGGGTTGGGAAATCCTATCATGGTAACTGAAAGGTGGGGACTTGAATTGGTGATTAGATTGTGAGGACTGTGCCCTAGCAATTGGATTAATAAATTGATGGTTTAATGGTGCTCATGGGTGTGGTTGTGATGACTTTAAAAGGAGCCGACTGAGAAGCTTAGCTTGCTCTCTGCTCCACCATTCTTACCATGTGACATCCTGCATTGCTGCAGAGTCACACCCAAGAACAAGGCTCTCACTAGATATGTTCCCTTGACTTTGGACTTCCTAGCCTCCAAAACTATAAGCAACAAATTTTGTTTTCTTATGAATTACCTAGTTCCAGTTATTATTTTGTTATAAGCAACAGAAATGGGCTAATACAACAAGTCACACTCACTCAGTGATAGTGGGTCCCTACGCTATTTAAATCCTCACCTCTCTCTTTCTCTAAGTTGAGTCAGGCTGAGATAAATGCTCCTAAGATATGACTTAACTAATCCTCTGGTTTCTCAACCCCAAACCCCCATGCTTAGCTGTCAATTGCCATTACCTGGAAACCACCCCCAGAGTTTCAGGAGGGACTCAACCCAACGGAGCACAAGGGTGACACCATCTCCAGGTATATTAGTTTGTTTCTATTGCTTATAACAAAATACTTCCAACTGGGTACTTCGTAAGAAAATGAAATTTTCTGTTTACAGTTTTGGAGGCTAGGAAGTCCAAAGTCCAGGGAATATATCTGGTGAAGTTGTTGGTGGTGGTTGACAGTGACACAGGAGTCTCACATGGCAGAATGACAGAGCAGAGAGAGACTAATCCGCTCACTTATTCTCCTTTTAAAGCCACCAGAACCACTCCCATCATTCCAAGAATGGATCAATCCATTAACGAGGGTACAGTTCTCACAATTCAATCTCACCTCTTCAAGGCCCCACCTTTCAATTACCATAATAGGATATTCCTCCCGCAACAGTTACAGTGGGAATTAAGCTTCTAGTACATGGACTTTGGGGGACACAATTCCATCCACTGCACCAGGCATCAGTCAGTGGGAAAGGGTATTTCTGACACTCATCACAGTGGTCTCCTGAGTTTAAGTCTCTCCACCACTGAAGACAACAGATACTTTGCTTACTTGGATGGAGCAGAAATGTTGGTATAGGGTGGAAGAGGAGAAAGACTCTGCTATGGTTTGAATGTGTTGCCTGAAAAGCATGTGCTGGAAACTTAATCCCCAATGCAGGAGTGTAGGGGGGTGGAGCTTACTGGGAGGTGTTCAGGTCATGAGGGCTCCACCCACACGCAGGGATTAATGCTGCTATAGAAAGGGCATGGGCTGTGAGTTTGGCTCTCTCTCACCCTGTCTGCTCTTGTGCCATGTGATGATACAGCAAGAAGGCCTTCACCAGATGCCAGCCTGTCAATCGTGGACTTAGCCTCCAGAACCAGGAGCCAATATATTTCTGTTCATTATAAATTACCCACTCTCAGGTACTGTTATAGCAGCACAAAACAGACTAAGACAGTCTCTTTAGGTCTTTCTCACATCAAACGAAACATATTACGATGATGAAGGCAAGTGATTAAGAGAATAAATCCTGCAGCCAGACTACTTGGATCCAAGTCATGTGATCCTGGGCAAGTTAGCTAACCTCTCTGTGCTTTAGTTTCCTCATCTGTAAATTGTGATAACAACACCCTCTTCACAGGGCTGTTGTACAAATTAAATGAGTTAATATCTGAACATGCTCAGGAGAGGTGGCTGACTCATAATGGACACAACACAAGTGTGTGTTGAGTGAGGTAAGCACATGTGCCGGGACAGCAGCCCTGGGGAGGCTCACCGTCTATTCCATCTTCCCCAGCTGCTCCTCAGATGGAGGTAAGCGGTTCCTCTGACTGTTCCTCTGTATGATGGCACTTCAAAGAGTTCATGGAAAAATAGAATTAAAAGATAATATGAATCTTTCCATGAACGTTTTGAAGTGCCCTACTATTATATATTTAATGACAAAAAACTTGAGGACTAGGAAAACCGACTTGCAAAACTATTCCAATGGACTTGACTTTTTCACTCTCAAATCACCCTAAGACTCAGAATCCTCTCACTCAGATACTATAAAAATTTCCTGCAATGTCGTGTGGAGGTGAGTGAAAAAAATAATCTGTGCACAATTTAGAAAGTTATCAATTTAGAATTTTCAGTATCAAGTTATGTGCTTTGTATTTCTGAAAACAAATATCTTTTAACTGTGTTTTAAGATTCAAGAAGTGTTATAATGTAAAAAAAAAAAAAGTTGATAACATGATTTCCCCATCGACTGATCAAAGCATAAGAAAGCAAACAGTTTTTATCTTTTAAGTTACGGCATTAAAAAAAAAAAAAGAAGCAGATACAAAGCCCCAGGGTAACAAGTGCCTAGGAATGTCTGTTTCTCTTCTAGTGAGGGTCCCCTTTGGCACAGATAGGGAAGGCCATTTACTTCCTCACTAGGAATACTGACACCACCACAATCATAGAGCTCAATGAAACTTCTATAAGAATAGCTGGAAATTGAAAGAAGTTTGACAAATATAGCCTTATTTTTTCTGGAAATTATAACATGCTGCTACTGTTAACAACTGCTTGTTGTTACAAGCTTCAAACTACTTCTGCATCTATCAGTCCATTTCATCTGCACAGGAGCATGGTAAGGGAGGTGGACCGGAAGTTTGACAAATATAGCCTTATTTTTTCTGGAAATTATAACATGCTGCTACTGTTAACAATTGCTTGTTGTTACAAGCTTCAAACTACTTCTGCATCTATCAGTCCATTTCATCTGCACAGGAGCATGGTAAGGGAGGTGGACCAATATGGGAGGTGGACTGGTGCTCGTGTCACTCCCACCCTGAGAGGAAGAATGCAGGAGGGTGCTGTACAAGTCTGTACACAGCAAAGATTTCAAATCCCACATTTCTTCCTGATATCACTCAATGTAATAAGTCCATCTTCTGTTGTTGCAACAGTTTAGTGCTTTCCACAAAACAGTTACTTCCCAACCAAGAACAATTCGGAAAGCACCCTGAACCTCATATGTGTGTCTTTGGAGTCAGTACTGGAGAGATGTTGTCATTGTACAGTATAATGTGCTTTGACTACCTCTCTTGGCAGTGCTTCAGCACCTCTTTTGGGCGAGCAGTAGGTGCTTGTAAGTGCTCAGGGACATGCGAGTGGTCTGGCAGCGTGGCGCGTGTGCATGTGTGTGATCTCCACATAAGGAAAACATTTCTGCTTCTCATCTACCAAGAGTACTAAGGAAGAAGGATTTCAGGACTGAAACTCTGCCAAAAGCCATCACCACTCCTAAAACTGACTTCAGCAAGAGCAACAAATACCACAGTCACACGAATTGCATCATCGGCCTTCTGTGGGAGGAGAGGTGGTGGTGGCATTGGGCGGGATGGGTAAAGGATGTGAGGTGTCATCATGTGAGGAAGGGGACTGAGGATGTACCCTGTGATCCAGAGAGGGACGTTACCTGGCTGCAGACGGTTTTCACCTTGTGCAGTCTGTCCAGCGACTCCTGCGGATTCCCCAGATACTGCTGAAGCTCTGCATGCAAGATGCGCATTGAAAAGGGAACCATGGAGCCTGGAACCAAAATCCAAGTTGATTTTAGTTTGTTAATTTGTTAGTTTGTTTGCTTTAATTGCATGCTTTCATACTTGGTGCACTTGAAGAAGCTCTGCAGATGTCCTAGCAGCAGTGACAAAATCCTTGTGTTTCTTAAGTACCCAGTAGAGTCAGCTATGAAATGTATGTTGGTTTTCTCCATCAAAAAGTACACCTAGACAGCTAAAGAAATGTTAAAGAATACCTAAGTGTTATTTTCTCTTTTATTTGGAGGAGGGGTTGGTGTCCACTGGTTTCATTCATTTTGTGATCGTTTCTGCATGATTGCAGTATAGCTATAGAAATAGTGGAGACTATATTGCAGTCATGGAGAAACGATCAGGAAATGAATGAAACCTGTGGAGACCAACCCCTCCTCCAAATAAAAGAGAAAACAGAACGTTTAGGTATTCTTTAATATTTCTTTAGCAGAGGAAGCTCAAGCAGAAGGCTGCTTAGGTAGGCCAGGTTCCCCAGAAGAAGCCCCTGCAGGGAGAACGTGTAAGCAAGCAACTGGTTCTGAGAGCGCGCCCAGGGACTGGTGAGGTGCGGGGACAGCTGAGCAAGGGCACATCCCAAGCTTGCAGATGGGACTCCCACAGGATTCTGCGTGGGGACTCTGGAGCCTAAGGTCTGCCTCTGAGCTGTCCCAACTGGAGGCAAGGGAGATGGACCTGAAAACTCCACCATCCAGGGCTGCCCCGGCTCTGCGAGTATCTGAGTGGAGGAGGGAAAAGACACGAGAAACAAACTTGGCAGCACCCACACAGGGCTGCATCATCTCTCAGGATAAGGGAACTTTTTGTTAATATTATGTTTTCTTTTAACATGATTTGGAATTTAACCTGTAAAACATATATTAAGTACATAAAGACCAACAAAATAACCATATAGCCTGTACTGGCTATAAATGAGAAAAGAATATGGAAATGCCAGCAGAGGCAATCACGCAGATTCAGTAACGGACTTTTAGAAACTGGCCTAGGCAGTTAATCTTTGGATCTGAAATACAGTTTGGATGATGGTCAGAAAACAGCTGTGTGACTTCTGCAAGCCACTTAACCTCTCTGTACCTCAATACCTCAATCCATACATCTGTCTATCCATACATCATTACTGAGGGTGTACTGTAAACCACACTAAGATGGGCTTTATGTCTTTGTTTCTCTTTATCTTGAAAATTTTACAATTTTGATTGCTAATTTTTTGAGGATTTTGCATCAATGTTCATGAGACATACTGGTCTACAGTCTTCCTTTACTGTAAAGTCTTTGTCTGGTTTTGGTGTTAGGGTAATGCTGGCCCCATAGAATAAGTTAGGAAGTGTTCCTCTGCAGAATATAGATGTAAAAGTCCTTAACAAAATTATCAAGTCAAATACAACAAAATTGAATCTAATGAAAAATTAGCAATCAAAAACAACAACATATAGAAAGAATTTTACGCCATGACCAAATAGGATTTATCCCAGGTGTGCAAGGATGGTCCCACATTCAAAAATCAATTAGTGTAATGGAACAGAACAGAGAGCTAAACAAAATTGAATCTAATGAAAAATTAGCAATCAAAAACAACAACATATAGAAAGAATTTTATGCCATGACCAAATAGGATTTATCCCAGGTGTGCAAGGATGGTCCCACATTCAAAAATCAATTAGTGTAATGGAACAGAACAGAGAGCTAGAAAACAGAGCCTCACAAATATAGTTGGCTGATCTCTGACAAAGGAGCAAAGGTAATTCAATGGAGAAAAAACAGTTTTTCAACAAATGTTCTGGGACAACTGGACATTAAAATGGAAAAAAGTGAATCTAGACACAGACCTTACACCTTTCACAAAAAATTAACTCAAAATGGATAACAGACCTAAATGTACAATGCAAAAACTATAAAACTTTTAGAATAGAACATAGGAGAAAATCTAGGTGGTCTGGGTTTGGTGATAACTGTTTAGAAACAACAACAAAAACACAATCCATGAAAGAAAAAGTTGATAAGTTGAACTTCATTAAAATTAAAAACTTATGCTCTATGAATGACACTATTAAGAGAATGAAGAGACAAGAAATAGACAGGAAGAAAGTATTTGCAAAACACCTATCTGATAAAAAGACTTGTACCTGGCATATATAAAGAATTATTAAAAATGCACAGTAGAAAGTATTTGCAAAACACCTATCTGATAAAAAGACTTGTACCTGGCATATATAAAGAATTCTTAAAAATGCACAGTAAGAAAACAAACAAAAAAACCCAATTAATGGACAACAGATCTGAACAGACATCTTACCAATGAAGATACACGAATGACAAAAAAGCACATGAAAAGATGTTCACATCATATATCATTAGGGAAATGCAAATTAAAACAATGAGATACCACTACACACCTATTGGAATGGCTAAAAGTCCCAAATACTGACAATACCAAATGCTGGTGAGGATATGAACCAACGAGAACTCTCATTCATTGCTCACAGGAATGCAAAGCGTTGTAAATGCTTTGGAAGATGCTTGGCAGATACTTAAAAAGCTATCATACTTTACCGTAAGCTCCAGCAATCACACTCTTAGGTATTCACCCAAAGGAGATGAAAAATTATGTCCGCACAAAAACCTGCACAACAATGTTTATAGCAACTTTATTCATAATTGCCAAAACTGGAAGCAACCAAGGTATTCTTCGATAGATAAGTGGATAAATAAGCTACAGAACATCCATACAGTGGAATATTATTTGGTGATAAGAAACGTACTTACTATCAAACCAGAAAAAGACAGGTAGGAACCCTAAACACATATTCTTAAGAGAAAGAAGCTAGTCCAATTTCAACTATACGACCTTCTGGAAAAGGTAAAACTATGGATACAGTAAAGAGATCAGGAGTTAACAGGGGTGGGGTGTGGGTGGGGATTAATACTCATATGTAGAGCACAGAGGATTTTTAGGGCAGTGAAACAAACCTAGATGACAGTAGAATGATGGACGTATGACATTATGCATTTGTCAAAACCCACAGAATGTACAACACCAAGAGTGAACCCCAACGTAAACTATGGACTTTAATAATAACATACCACGCTAATTTTAATAAATGTACTAAACTAATGCAAGATGTTAATAGGTGTTCATACAAACTGTGTATAAGAGGAAAGAGTATATATGGAACTCCCTGTACTAGCTGCTCAATTTTTCTGTCAACTAAAAAAAGAGCAGATAAATCCAACTGCATATAGAAATTAGTGTACAATAAAGATGGCATCACCAAAATACTGGAAGGAAAATGGAGATTTATTTATTTACTTATGGCAGCTGGCTGGTACGGGGAAGGACTATCTTCTTGGGATGTAAAACTGGAACTTAAAATATTTTTGTTCTTAGAAATATTATTAAACATAGTGGCCAGCAGTAGTTCAAATGGTAATATTAACACTCTATTCAAGGTAAATTTAAAATAGGCTTTTGTGGCCTAAGGACCTAACTAGGTACAACCTTAATTCTACAGAAAATGCTTTCCAAGTACTAACTACTGAACTTTTGGAATACAACTGGCTAGAGCATGCGGTTTGTTTGCATAGTTAAACCACAGAAAAGTGGTCTATAGTTTGATGAACATTATAAAAATGTCATTTTCTATATATGTGTAGCTTCAAAGTCCACAACTCTGAATGAAATATTTCCAGCCTAAAAAGAAAAAAAAGCAGATTAAAAACGAATGTCATTTTAATTAACTACATATGTAAGCTGGAGGGGACAGATTTCAATACATTTTGGAAAACAGTTATATGTACAAGGTGAGCTCAAATAGGAAAGCCTATTGAACCTAAAACCTTGCTCCTCAAAGTGTATCTTTGACCAGCTTCAATTTTATCACCTGTAACCTTGTTAGAGATGCAGACTCTCAGGCCCCACCCAGACCTGCACTTGGCTAGGTCCTCCATGATTTGCATGCTCATTGACCACTGAGCAGCCCTGCTCCAAACCATTACCTTACTGATGTGAAATTCAGACTTACTAACCCAAGGTTACCAGGGAATATCATTTATATTTTTGTAGCTATATCTCAAAGGGCACATCCAAGTTCATTAGGGTCAAATTAAAACAAGTAATTAGTACTGCGTATTCAGTATAATTGTGTATCATGCAAGAAAATGTCCCTCTTTAGCTATATGACCACTGTTTCCTTACTGTCCCACACCCTTTTAAAAACAACGCAGACATTTAAAGACTGTATGGGGCAGAAGGAGGGGAAAGTGAGGAAATGCTGCTAAGTTCCCCGACTTTTTGCTGAGGACTGTGGGGAATCTTGGGAGCTGACCACTGGAGCCCCGCACATTCCTTGGCTCTGCACGGGAGCTGAGAGTGTGTCAGGGTGACTGAGGCTGTCTTACATCTCACGTGTGCTCAGAGGAGCTCCCACTGCTACTGCTTTTTGGAGGGAGAATATACTTGTGAACAAGATTTACCCATTTCTTCCTTGAATTTGGGGGACATGTTGAATAAAATCACAAATAAACTAATATTAATATAGAATTCTTTCAGAATTCAGTTTTACCATGTTTTAAAAAAAGAAAATTTTAACATGTTGGAATGCTAACAAGCCCTCTCCTTCCCCCCATGTAACAGTTAAAAAGGGAACAACACTGTTCCTCTGCTCTTCAGGGCTTGCCGTCCCTCTGGTCCCTTTGTTTTAATTTCCACAACTGGAATTCACTGCCATGTCTTCTGAACAAGGGAAGCTCTTCGTGGGAGGCTCAACTCCGGCAGCAGTGAGCAGGTGCAGGAGGATGGGTGGCAGCTTCGGGCTGTCTCCGATGTGGTCAAGGTCAAGGTCAAGGTCGAAGATGGGAGACTCAACCACCTGTGGTTTTGGCTTCATCACCTTCACCAGCCCAGAGCGAGCCCCAGCTCCGAGTGGACAGTCCCTACATGTGGCCAAGTCCATGTGGACCATGCAGGCACGTCTGCCCAGGGGA